TTCTTGTTGGTGGCAACCGATTACTTCACCAAATGGATCGAAGTTGAGCCTTGAGCTGTATTTGGGATGTGGAGGAGAAGAAGTTCGTGTGGCAGAACGTTATCACCCGATTTGGAATCCCTAGGACTATTGTTTCTAACAATGAGACTCAATTCAACAGTGATCCATTTAGAGAATTCTGCTCGGAGTACGGAATATGTAACTACTATTCTACGCCAGTCTATCCCCAATGTAATGGACAGGCTGAGGTGTCTAACAAAATCGTGCTGGCGAGAATCAAGAAGAGACTTAAGGCGGCAAATGGAAGGTGGACCGAGGAGTTACTTAACGTATTATGGGCGTACAGGACCACTCCGAGGACCTCGACGGGAGAAATCCCATACGCCTTGACATATAGGGTTGAGGCTGTCATCCCGTTGGAGGTGGGGCTCCCAACAATACAGAGCCGAGCCTTCGAATTGAGAAACAATGATCAAACTCTCTCTAGGGATCTCGATTTAACCGAGAAAAAGAGGTCATCGGCATCTATCAAGCTAACGAGGTACCAAGGGGAATTGTCATGGCAACACTGGAAGAAGGTTCGAACGAGAGATTTTCAAGTAAGAGATTTGGTACTACGAAAAGTGGTGGGCAATACGCGCGAGCCTACTAATGGAAAATTGGGTCCCAATTAGGAGGGCCCTTATAAGGTGATCTCCGTGGGGGGCACTGGAGCGTATCGATTGCAAAATATGAATGGTGACGATGTAATCTGGCCATGAAATGTATCAAATTTAAAGAAATACTACTACTAAATTAGGTTTCAGTCTTCATGGTTGCATTAACACGAGCCAGGTGCTAGGTCGTTAGGGCTAAGACCCCAAGGGGTGTAAGACTCCACCCTTGACATGGAAGGCATGAAGCGCGGCGTCCCAACCTTCTTTGAAAGCCTTTTTCTTGGCTTCCTCGAAAGCAGGAACCATTTGGTCTTAAGTGGTCGCCCACACCCTCTAACATTTCGATTGCAGCCTTTCCTGCTCCCCCACCTCCTCTGCTGTCAAGGAGTCCACTTTGGCAGTAAGAACGTTGATTAATGACTCAGACTCTTGCAGCTTGACTTCAGAGGAGGACACTCACAGCTTGTACTCCTCGACCTTCTTTATCATTATAGCTTCACTCGCATTGGTCTTTTCCAGCTCAGCATGAACCGCATCTCGGTGGTGGATGAGCTCGGCGATGTGCTTAGTTTGGTCACTGAGGGTCCTCTCGACCTTAAGGATATGGTCGTCCTTAGCAGCTATGGGTCACTCGACTTTCTTCGCCTCTTGTTTATATTCCCAAAAATGTTCGATTATGACCCCCATCTGCTGGCAGGCCTGGAAAAGGAGGAATATTACGGAACAACCAAAATGGTGCGAGGAATACTTGGTAAAGTGTTAAACTTACCACCAGGTTATTTTGGATAGTGCTCATCAGAAGTCGATTGTCCGAGTAACCTTTGTACACGGCCATATCGGCATCAAATTGAAGCGTCCTCGCAAAGGCAAACGTCACTTCGGGGGACTAGAGGATTGAGTCGGCTTCCAAAATAGGGCGGTCACTCCTGGTGTTGGCTCGAGGGACCCACTCGCCCGAGACAGACAGGCTCGGGGCCGGGGCGTCATGCCGCCACATAACACGGCGCTCCTCAGATTGTTCGGCGTCCCGGGCACGCTTGTCCCTCAGTTGGTCTCCCGGAGTGGGGACTTGTTGAGATTGGGGCCTTTGCCTGGTCGGCACGGCCGGGTCCCCGGATGGTTGCGTACGTGACGACGGCGGTGGCAGCAGCGGCGGTAGTTGCCTTCGAGGAGAACTAGGCGGGGGGATGATGGGGGCAGTGTTGGAAGGCCCGGCCAACCCGACGAGCCTGACTCTCCTTGCCGCGGCCTCCATTGTAGCAGCAGTGATTGGTGGCAGATTAAACATGTCAGACGCAAGGGGCTTGGGAGCCTGATGATCAGACTCTTCTTCGGAATCTCCCTCGGATTCTTCCTCTTTCGACGAGGAATGGTCTTCCCAAACAGAAGGGTTGAAAGGAGGTGGAATCTGGGAGAATCAGTTGTAAGTCGGCGTATAGCCGAGGAGAGTATGCGTCGCTCGCTCAACTGGGTCCGAGGACCAAACTCTTAGTAGGTCGACAAATCGGACTTGGGACCTCAACAGTTGAGCGATATCCTATCGATATCCTTTTGCAAAAGCAAAGTAAAATCAGTGCGTCCCTCAGACCCAAGAATAGCAAAATCAAGAAGTCGAAAAAAAAAATACACCTTCATCCCTCGACACTTTAGGGCAGTACAATCCGTCATACTCGGGCGGCCCCTTCCCTTTCTCCCAACTTTCGCCGAGTATGATCAAATCGTCTACATACCTCTTGTCCGAGTCGAGCATGTGGATTACCAGATATATTGAGGCGTCTCGAGCCTGGAGGTAATATAACCCCTTGGCGACTAGCCTCAGGTCGTAGCAAAATAAAATTTCATCTACTCCTAAGTTGGTCCCCAGCCGAGCATTTAAGGCGACTACGTCCATCACAATCCTAAAGAAGTTAACCCCACATTGAAGGGGAAAGAGCTTCAGTTGCATCAATACTCACAGCAACAGAGGATGGAGGGGGAAGATCAACCCTCCCTCCATAATGGTCTTCGTCCAGAAAGACATCATGTCCACATTTCCCATATCCCTCCTATGGTGAGTGGGGTTGAAGGGAAAAATGAAGACAGGCTTACGGATGTGGTACCTAACCCTAAAGGCTTGAATATTCTCATCAGTCACTTGGGTTCTCTTCATCTTATGGGTAGTCCTAGCCCTAACAGACGTCTCCCCCCTGGTTCTACTAGTTCTAGCCATTGGTGGGCGCTAAAACGATGAAATGTAGTGAAAATGAAGAGAGAAAAAGCTCAAGTGAAAGTACTTACAGGAAGGTGGTCTTCAAAGAAAGAGCTCGGAGGACGAAGGAAACTCGGAGCAGAACAGAGGAGCACTCGGGGTCTGATTGTTGAAGAGAGGTTGAGGATGCAAAAGTTCTGAGAAGGTATGAAAACCTTCTATTTATACTGCCTCATAGGGAGCGGGAATCGAAAAGTTGGGTCATCATTAGGGCGTTTGAAAAGGGCGGCACCAGACATGCAAGTAACCGTCGCTATTAATAAGGCGTGATGAGGGAGCCCCCAATCCCTTTACGCCAGTTGTCTGACACTGCGAAAAGGATGGCGGCTGGGGGGCAGTTGGCGGGACTCTAGGTGGCTCTACAGCCCCGGGTCGACACATGGAATAATGAAGCCGTTGGGATGTCCAGAGGGTGCTGAGGAAGTAAGCCGAGGTATGGTGACACTGAGCAGTCGGGTACGACAATTGACATCGTATTTAATGCGATATGACCTCTTATTTTTGGCGGAATGAATGAAAGTGACAAGACAAATAAATACGAGCCTGCCAGCACCTGTCCTCTAGGAGTCTAAGCCTACTGTCATGATGGCTAAACATTAATGACTGATCACCGAGATGACGCAATCGGCTCCCCCGATGAGCTGTTCCCCCCAAGTATTCAATGCTTAGTTGATGCCGGATGCCGATCTGAGGGATTTGGGTACTCGGGGAGTGACATGAATGCTCGGCATTTGGCTGAACATTTATCCCATTTTCCTAGTATTCAATAGGAGAAGACGTGAGTAGAAAACACTCATTGCATGATGAATGGTGTGTCAGATGTAAAATGTTCAGATAAGACTGAAGATCTTTGGCAATCATTGCTAATTCATGTATAAATACTCCTCAAAAAAATGGACAAATGTATGCAAACTTGAATTAAAAATATTGTCCATTGAGCAAAATTCTTCGACTTTATACTGACTTAAGCTTCGGAGGGGATTAGCCGGGTGCTCGCCTAGCCCCCTTTTTTTTGACTCTGTTGTTTCAGATTCACCAGCTTGAAAATCGCTGTCTCGTACTATCACAGGAGTTATCCTATGCAGTATTATATATTATTTGCTTACGTGTATATGCTTGTGTCATGAAGTGCTCATGGATACAAAACCTCACATGATAATTATGGCCAGTAGAACTCTTGAGAGCCAACTCTCCAAAAGTCATCTTTGATATTATCTAGTCTATGCCTTTGGCTCTAGGCCAATTCTTTACCCCACTAATAGCACAAGGAAAATGCAAAACCCAGTAAAAGGACCCGTTCGGTTCTTGAAGTCGTTTGTGTATCTCGGTCTTACTTTAGGTGCCGACTTATTGTGCAGGAGACAAATAGCTCGACTTCCTCTTTAAAGTACAATTGTATAAGTTTAAGCCGAAGACAAGTTCACTACTCTTTGTGGGGGACTACCATGAAAAGTTTCACAATTGACAGAGACTAATATGACTGCCATATTTGCTCCAGTTACTTGAAAATAGCTACCCATGTATGCTTGTTGAACTTAAACATGTAAAACACGAGCACACAAATAACAAACATCATGGAATTTTACTTGCTATGACTAACAGGATGCAAAACTCTTTTAGTGCAATTGTTTTTGCTCAAGTGTTGCAGAGCTAATTTCGGGGTGCTGAACTCGACTAGTCTGTTTCATTCTCATTCCCGTCGGGGTATTCATGGTGCTTGGCGGTTCATTCTGCCATTGATTCCGATTTCAGCGTCTTCAAGCACGCAAAAATCTGTCAATGACGTGCACCGTCTAGGGCCATTATGTCGATACAAGAGTCTCTCTCGGGCTCTCTTACCGTGAAAGTCTTTTGAAATGCGACACCCGATCAGTATCTCGAAATAAGCAAACATGCTCGGCACCGCTTAAGGCAATAGTCGGCACAATGCAATGTTGATCGGCACCATGTTATCAGAATTGCTGCACAATATCTTCGAGATCATGAGTATGAATTAACAAACAGCTGCGGGGTCTCTGTAGCGACATACCCAACACAGATTAATCGTTTGGCGTGAACCAAGGATTTTTCTCGGCATGAGAATTAATGTCGAACAAATGGAGGTCAATTGCTACGTGTTCGACATTGGGAAAGAAGTGATAACAACCATCATCTCCATACCCTTCTAACAGGAGCTATTTTTATCTCTTGCTATGATCCCTTTGGGTATTTTGCTGACTTGAGTGCCAATTTCTTGGCATTTTGATGATCTAGCCCCCTTCGAGAAGCTCTCGACCGGCCGAACCTGAAAATGGCCGATCCAGTGGTAAGGGGCCGAAGGCTGATCGGGCTATCACTTTAAGATTGGCTCCACATGTAATATCTCGAAGTACTCAAAGAACCCATCAGTGGCAAGCACCGTCAAAAGCCATTTTCTTAAGGTGTGAAGCTTTTCTTTAGCATTTGTACAGAAATAGATTGGGACTGATCACTTCATCGGTCTATCGTCATTCGGGCTCTCCAACATTGGAAGTCTCCGAGTAAGGCATCTGCTCCACAACCCCAAGGAAACAAAAGTGTTCAGTATCACTTAGATGGTGGTCGGAACTATCGTAACACTAATTGCTTCATTGTCGATAAACACCGAAGCCTCGTGGATGGTCGGCGTACCCATACAAAGCTAATTGGAAACCAGCATAGCCCAAATCTAAACTTGTCCAAGAGCTCAATTTGCGGCACCTAAATGCTCGGCATCATCAATACATCTCGGCCGTGAAAGTCCCCTTATTTTGGCATGACTTCGGGGAACTGCTCACAGTGGGGGTGGGGGGGGGGGGGGGGGGGAGGGGGGGGGGGGGGGGGGGGGGGGGGGGGGGG